AGTTCCCCCCCAACCCCCCTAGCCCTGATGTTTCCCGCCCGGCCGGCTTCGAGGCGGCAGCGGCGGCGAGGCTCCTTAGCGGCGGCGGCGGCGGTTCCCCCCCCCAACCCTCCTGGCCCTGACGTTTCCCAGCCGCCCGGCTGGCTCTGAGGCAGCGGCGGTGGCGAATCTCCGAGGTGGCGGCGGCTGCGGGTTCCCCCCCTCACCCCCCTGGCCCTGATGTTTCCCGGCCGGCCGGCCGGCTCCAAGGCGGCGGCAGCGAGGCTCCTTAGGCTCCCTCACCACTCGCCCCCCCTCGCTGCTCACCGCTCGCCGCTTCCCTTTCAAGCAGCGGCGGCGGCAGCCTCAGTTGCCAAGCATTCCGTGCGCATGCGCACGGAACGGTCTTGCACTTTCGGGGGGATTTAAACATCCCCCTGATTTTTTCCCCAAGGTTTAGCATTTTTGTGCACATGTGGGGACTGGCCCACGTGTGCACAAACCTCCCCATCCCCCCCAAGTGCCCCCGGAACGCTGATTTAGCGATACGCACTCGCGGGGGCAACTTGGCTATTAGATATATAGATGATCATTGTGGCAGGAAGAATAAGCCTGCTGCGAAACTAAAGGCTCCACTCAGCCAAGTGTACCTGTTTCTCCAAAGAGGCGCTCCATAGTGTCTCTGCATGAGTCACTCCACTTGGAGATGTTTCCTTTTAATCATAAGAACATAAGCGAAGCCATTTTGGATCAGGCCAATGGCCCATCCAGTCCAACACTCTGTAGATAACCTTCAAAAACCCAGGTGCCATCAGGAATAAGAGTTGGTTTTATACCCTGCCCTTCACTATCCAAAGGAGTCTCAGAGCAGCTTACAATCACCTTCTCTTCTTCTCCCCACAACAGACACCCTGTGAGGTAGGTGGGGCTGAGAGAGCTATGATTGACCTGAGGTCACCCACCTGGCTTTATGTGGAGGAGTGGGGAATCAAACCTGGTTCTCCAGATTAGAGTCAGCCGCTCTTAACCACTACACCAAGCAGGACCAGAACTCCAGAAGCTCTCCCTCTGTTGCCCCCCCCCCAATCACCAAGAACATCATTTGCCCCAGACAGAGAGTCCCTATCTATACCTTGTGGCTAATAGCCACTCGTGGACCTCTGCTCCATATGTTTCTCCAATCCCCTCTTGAAGCTGTCTATGCTTGTAGCCACCACCACCTTGCATCAGTGAATTCTACCTGTTAATTACTCTTTGAATGAAGTATTTCCTTTTATCTATTCTACTCATTACTGCTCATTAATTTCATTGAGTGCCCACGAGTTCTTGTATTGTGAGAGAGGGAGAAAAATACTTCTTTCTCTACCTTCTCTATCCCATGCATAATTTTGTGAACCTCTGTCATGTCACCCCTCAGTCGTCATTTCTCCAAGCTAAAGAGCCCTAACCTCTTCAGCCTTTCTTCATAGGGAAGGTGTTCCATCCCTTTAATAATTTTAGTTGCCCTTTTCTGCACTTTTCCCCAATGCTGTAATATCCTTTTTGAGGTGTGGTGACCAGAACTGTACACAGTATTCCAAATGAGGCTGCACCATACAGGGCCATTAGGATACTGGCTGATTTGTTTTCAGTCCCCTTCCTAATAATCCCCTGCATTGCATTTTCCTTTTTTTTTGCAGTCACACATTGAGTCGACATTTTCAGTGAGTTATCTACCACTTTTATCGCTTTTAAGATCAGTGATTCATTCAGAGATGTAGATTCTTCCTTCTGTGCAGTGGTTAAAAAAAGTACATCTTCTTTAAATGTAATAGTGAAGCATGCCTCCAGTCTTAAACAAATGTGTCACCTACGGTAGCTTTTGGAAACACTGAGGCAGAGTAACTAATTGCTGGCCTCTCTGCTTAGCAAAATTAAATCTTGCACGCAGCTAAAATTGCCTTAATTTGTACGGGCACAGAATAACAGCTCTTCTTACACCAGAATTGAGCTAAGTATCGGGTGTGAAACTTTCAACTTATTAATACCAATACCCACTGCCCTGCCCCTGATTAGGTCTTGACTTTATTATGGGCTAGGATTGCCAGCCCTGAGTTAACTAATACCTGGAGATTGTGGAGGCGGAGCCTGAGGAGGGTGGGGCTTGGAGAGGGGAGGGACTTAAGTGGGGTATAATGCCGTAGCGACCATTTCCTCCAGGTAAACTGATCTCTGTCGCCTGGAGACAGGCTTGCCAAGTCCCGCCGGGGGGCGGGGAAACCCCTGCCCCAGAGGCCCGTTCCCCGCTGCCGGCGGATCGGGCCCCGGGGGGAACCCCACCCCCACGTGCACGTCACCAGGAAGTGACGTGACGACGCTGGGCACCCTGGGGGCGGGCCCACGACCATCCGAGGGAAAACTCTATGGTCGCTAAAGCCACAAGCCGGGAGTCCCCCGCTGCGGCGATTTTTTCACTTGGCAACCCTACCTGGAGATCAGTTGCAATCTCAGGAGATCTCCAGCCACCACCTGGAGACTGGCAACCATATTATGGACATTGGTGTCGGTGATGAAGAGGAATCTTCTTAGATTCAGTTTCAGAGGGCAGCAGTGTTGCTGCAGGCTCCCCACACATGCACTCTGCTCCTTGGGCCTCTCCAGACCCCAAGATTTCAGATTGTATGTCCCGTCCCTAAAGCTTCCCAGTTTCCTCCCTTTGCCTTTTTATAAGTGCACCTTCTTGCTGGTGTGTGTTTATGTGTGTGATTGCTTAGGGGATTAGCTCTCAGGCGCTCAGGGGAGGTTCTTCGCATTTTTATTTTGTATACAATAAAGCGGTGTTTACAATCACTC